ATATATATATATATATATATATTTTTTTTTTTTTAAATAGAATTTAGTTTTGTATTCTCAACACCCATTTTTTAATCTCTGCCATAAAAATTAAATACAAAAATTAAATTCGCTTTCATATAAACTAGATTTTTAGTTTTATCCGCTTTTCCTTTGTACAATTGGCAGCTCGGCGATTGACTATGGATAATAATAGTACAAGTAAATATTTCTACTATAACTCCTATCACTTCCACTACGTTTTACTATGTATGTAGATGTGACTTTTTGTTGTTTTTCGTTTTGTTGCTTTTTTCACACTTTGCTAGGTATGTGGCATTTATTACCTCGTTTCTGTCGTACACTTTACGCTTTAGAGTTTCGTTTATAACTGTTGGACCTGGCCTGAAGGCAGTTTAGTTTTAAACAGTTTTTAAAATTCTACTCTGCTCCCGCTCAGCTGTTTTGCCTTACTCACTGCTCAGCTGGCTTACTCATTTCTACTGTTGGATGATCGGTGATCTTGGCTCTTGGCTGATTGCTTCATCAGCGTGGTATTGCTCAGCACTTTATTATGCGGAGTAGCAGCTCCAACTCTCATCGTTTATATGTGTATAACAGTAAAATTGGTGAAGTGATAACGCGCTCTACGTAGAACAATTTGCTGTCCAGTGAGGGTGGCAGCTGATGCGTAGAAAGAGAGTGAGAGTATATGTAGGTATGTATATATGTGCATATGTATGTAAAAGTACAGGTGTGCGTATGCTTCTGAGAATCGAAGTATGTACATACCAATAGCTGCAGGTGAAATTAAACAGTGTTGCCTTTTTTCATGCCAGTGCCATTTAAAGAAGTTCTCGATAATTCAATAACTCGAAATATTAAAGTATTTAATTTTCAGGTAAAAGAGGCTTCGGGTAGTTTCAATTAAAGAAAATATGAAAAATGTTAATATTGAGCTTTTTCTTTTACAAATTTTCATTTCATTAAATGTATCTTTTATCAACATATTATATAAGTACTTTATCCGCGTAATAATCAACAATTATTTTAATTCTAGTCTTAACCTCAATCTTAATCTACATCTTAATCTTAATATTAAACTTGATCTTGATCTTCATCTTAATCCTAATCTTAATCTTAATCTTACTCTTAAAGCTTAAATAGACGGCCGCGTTGATCTGGATTAACTCGGACTTAATCCGGATCAACTGCAGTTAATTCCCGAGTTGATCCGGATCAACGCTGTCGTCTGTTTAAGCCTTTAGTCTTAATTTTAAGCTTATGAAAGAAGATAAAATGCAGAAATGTCAATGCACGTAAATACCTTCGGCTTTCATATTGAATCCTAGGGGAATTCTCTGCTAAGTATAAGGGATTCGAACATATTAGCCCTAAAATGAATAAACCCTTGTCCGTCCAGAATCCGGCAATCATAATGAATGTGTTCTCAAGTCTCACCGTCTTCAAGGCAGAGTCGGCATTCTGAATAGTCCAATCACACCTGTTCGGTGTAAGTAAAATGGTAATCGGTTGTGACCAGTTAGGCACCCAGCGTGGTGTCATTTATGTTTAATAACCTAATATACGGACCTCTATCGTTCTCAATTACTTACTACGTTTATTGTGTAATACACTTGTGTATTCACTCAGTAGCTATGGTTCTCGAAGAAGACAAACTAAGCCCTAAGGACATGGGGCCCGTTTGCCCAAACTTCATGATCTGAAATATTAACTGGGCACTATCTGCCAAAGCAGATCTTTTTAGTTATAGCATCAGTATAGCTGCATGATGCTTCTACTTATGTATTGAAACAGTCATTAGAGAGTTGATTTTAAAACTCCCACGTGGCTGCTGTTGCTTGTTAAAAAATATGGAAAATACGCCATCGTAGAAGCAACTCTCGAGCCACAGTTGAGCAAGTTTTCATTGTTCCACTGGCGGAGAGAAACCAAAATCTTTGCAATTTATTGAAATGCAGTGCCAAAGTTTGCTATGTTTCCATATGACATAAACGGTCGGAAGATCATGAGGTAAAGCCGCCGCTCTATCAGCCTTGAGTTCAGACCAATGTTCTTCCAAAAAGGTCTTGCGCAGGCTCATATGGCGCTTGTTGCTTTAGCGACTGTTATTTCTTATGATGGGAGTTCCCCTTAAGTCTCTTATCAAGCATGATCCCTATATATTTGACTTCATCTGTGTGATTAAGAGGCCGTCCACCATAAGTAAGAACTCTACCCTCATGGCTCTAAACTTCACTTATGTAAATGCAATTCAGGATGGCATGTCGATTCCTTGATGCATTGGGTTTAAAAATGCATACTATTTTTCTCAACTGCATCTCTGTTTACTCAAACATCTCGCTCTTCATTATGTGCTCGCTAATACTTATTCTCTTTATTTTTTGTCCATTCAGCGTCTGCACGCACGTTTTCTTCGCACGCCAGCGACCATTATTGAGGTTTATCAAAATGCAATATTTATATACTTATGTACATGCGTACGTATGTATGTAAATATTTGCATACATATATACAATTAATATACACTGCAAAAATATTCAAATGCATGTATGTACATGTGTATGTTCCTACTTTGTATGACTGATAATTCGTTGGGGCCGGTGCCAGTAACTTGTGCTACTTGATAAAAAGCGGCGTCGCCACCACTCACGATCTTCAAACTGATGCGATAATTTGCAGTTGCTGTCACCTAATTACATTTATATGTACATACATATGTACGTACATAGCAACAAAGCAAGTAGTAGTTATAAGTGCTCACAAAATTTGTTGTTTTCGATTTGCCAAACTACCAAGCGAGGTGATTAAAAAAAAACCGGTTGTCACATTTCTCGTTAAATAGGATTTGCTAATTTTAAGCTATTTTGCAGACAGTTAAGAAAGAAATACTTGCCGTCGCAAATGAATTTCGGGTAAAGTCTCCAAAGGTGTCCCTAAGTGTTAACGGGTTTCCAGAATTGCGGAGCCGTATGCAGCTATACACTTAGACAAAAAACTATTTTATTTTTGGAGGCAACAAGCTGCGGTTCTTTGGCTCGTCTAAATGGACCGGAAAAATTTGTATGATCAAGTATAGCGGGAACAGTCGCGTACATTAAGAATCTTATGACAAAAGTACAGACCTTTTTAAATCAATTTAATTAGCAACTTAAACGAAATATTAAACATAATGTAGGAATTAAGCGAGAAACATTTAAGGAATCGTTATTTCAAAAATATTTTTAAAGAGAGCTGCCACCTGTTTTGAAATTCAAAGTAAATTCAATTAAAAAGCTTAATAAAATACCTTAATATCGGTATCAAACGAGAGGGGCTTTACGAAAGCTGTATTTACTTGTTAAACATTTTTGACGAAGGTTGCCACCAGATTAGAGATCCTACTAATATCAAAAATGAGAATGTTTGTCCGTGAGTATGTATGTTAGTATGTTTGTTGGTCTTCCTTTGTGTAAAATATGGCATGCAGATAGCTTATGACAGCATGAAGCATTTTCTTTAGTAAAATTTTTTTGTATGCAACATTTGTCAAGAATTTGGCAGCCACTTTTTATGACATACGACAAATGGTGATACAAATTTCTACTAAATTAACGATACCTTCTCCTCAATACCTCGGAAACTAAAGCAGATATCCAAAAATGAACAGGGTAATTTGAAAGCTTTTAATTAGTTTAGTATGACTGCATTATTAACTAAATTTTTACAGCGGGAAAAGCTATACTTAAGTAGTTAGAAAATATTCCTCTGAGGGAGTTATTACGATTTGGTACACTTCCTAATTCCTAATTGAACTTCAGTAGTCAATAGTCGCTCCTCAGGCTACAAAATTTTATTTCATTCAGGCGATACAGCTTAGTCTTCCATCGTTCAGTTACTCCTGCAGAACTACTTGATACAGTATTGTCGATCAAATCCTGCTTACGCTAAGCAAAACAAACTCAGTTATTAGCTTAAAACAGAGTTGCTGATATTTCACACATCTGCCTTGGAATATGTCTTCATCAAGCCTTAAGCATTTTACCTGCACTTCCAATTGGCTTTTGGGAATAATAAATTTTATTATCACAAAAACAAAATATATCTGCAAATATCTCTCAATTGCTCAGTAGAGACTACAAGATTTATAAACAGCTTTTGTTAAATTAATAATCAATAACTAACGGCATTTGTGCTTCTAAGGCGTACCGTTATACATAATTAGATTGGCCAATGCTGCTGTTTTTGCAAGCAAGTGAATATTTCAGTAGCTACACACACCACACCTCCGCCGGTTGCAGCTTGAGAAATTTGCTTAATACCTGAGAGTTCATATTTATTGCAGCATTTCGAAAATCAACCAACTAAGCAAATACCAAATAGACAACATAACAGAGATGTTGAACAAATGTTGCAACAGTAGTGTGATGATGGCAACAGTTGCAACATACTCACCGGTTGCCAGTTTGTGGTTAGCGGCTTGCTTTATCACTGTCATAGTAGTAGCTTGCCGGAGGGAAGGACGGAAGCATGCAAGAGCGGATAGACACCTGCCTGCCTAACGGTTTGCTCATTGTTAACAAACAAACATGCATACCTTAGTAGATAAATAAATGCAACAAAGGCAACCATAGCATAAATCAACAGTTAACAAGCATAGTGCGTGGCAATTACTCGAACTTACTATGCATGTGTAGCCGTTTTTGCTTGCACTGCAATATTCTGCATACATATTTGTGTGCGTTGCTGTAAGTCGCTTCTTCAGCTAAGCTTTACTTAGATCGGCAGCCCGCCCGCCCGTCTTGCTTGTTTGCTCGCTTACTTGTGGTGAAAGGATTCTGGCAACAGTAAATATTGCTTAGAGTTAACTATGTAATTATGGTGTGAACAGACTTACAAGTGTGCATGCGCGCATATGAATTTACACCAGGCGACAAATGAAAGTGTACACTTCGTTATAATATAATAATCACACTTCTTTTCATTAAAAATTTCATTCTATAATATTAACCGTACACATCAAAGTATCACACTTTATATAAAGTACACAAAAATTCAAAAAATTTTAAAATTTAATTCATTTTATTCCATATATGAATGTAGTTTGATAATGCCTTATATGGAAGAAAATGCGTCACATTCTCCACAAAAAAAAAAAAAAAATACATCAACGGTAATTTTTAGAAACTTCGAACTAAAATTGAATGGGATACAAAATTTAATACTCGAAAATTTTCTAGAAATTCTGAATAAAAGTTTGATGACATTTTTTTGGAATTTTTGTGACCTTTATGTGAAGTGTGAAACTTTGGCTGCGTTTCTTTATACATTCCGGATAATCCCATTTCACAGCCGGAATAAACAGAATGCGTTTGAAATATACGTTGACATATCATCAGGAACGTTCTAAAGAATAAGTAAACAAAAAGTTTATTCCAAACGTTCAGAATGAATAAAGATATGCAGCCTTTGATTTATATGATATTGTAG